TCATCTTGAAAACAAAACTCTTTTATTTTTTTCTTATTTTCAGGCAATTGGGGTTAAGTGACTTGCCCAGAGTCACATAGCTAGTAAGTGTAAAGTGTTTGGTCTGAGGCTGGATTTGAACTCAGGTCCTCCTGACTTCAGGGCCGGTGTTCTATCCACTGCGCCACTTAGCTGTCTCTAAACTCTTCTTTTTTCAACCAGCATATTTTCTGTGTTAGGTTATATTTCTTTTCAAGTTGTATTAGGGATACTATATCAAATACTTGCTACTTGTCAATAGTATGACTATATATTATAGGTATGGCCAACATAGTGAGTAAGTCAGTATCTGTGAAAAAAAAGATGGGATTTGACAAGATGTCCTCTAGCAGTAAAGCCATGATCCCAATCCCTCTTCACAGGGCTGCCCTTCAGATATTGATCAATACTCAAATATCATGCACTCTAGATCCTTCATTATCTCAGCTGCCCTCTACTGAACACTTTTCAGCTTCCTCATGTCTTTCTTAAACCTTAGAACCCTAAACCAGATATAGTAGTCCAGATGAAGTCTGATGAGGGGAAGTAGAGAGTTCAATTCTATCTTCGTAATCAGGAATCTGACAGTGAAGACAGAGAAATGGGTTGCCAATACGAAGTTTGTTGGCAGTGCCCAGCTCCTAGGTTTTCATATCCCTACAGGAGCCATATAGGCAGCCAGGTAGTGCAGGAGATAGAGTGACAGTCCTGGAATTAGGAGGACCAGAGTTCAAATGTGATGTCAAATGTTTACTAGCTGTGTGATCCTGGGCAAGTCACTTCACCCTGTTTGCCTCAGTTTCCTCATCTGTAAAATTAGCTGGAGAAGGAAACAGCAAACCATTCCAGTGTCTTTGCCAAGAAAACCCCAAATGGGGTCATGAAGAGTTGGACACGACTGAAGCAACAAAACAAAAATGGTGGCTATAGTCTAATTCGTCAAGCACCATTGTAAGTGCCACACACCTCAAATGTTGCTGACTTATCTTTGAGTATCTATCAAGAGAGCCTGGAAAAAAAATCTACAAGGTGTTCTAGACCATTAGTTGTCAACCTTTTTGGCCTTGGAACTTTTTGTACTCTTTTTTTTTTAGGCAATTGGAGTTAAGTGACTTGCCCAGGGTCACACAGCTAGTAAGTGTTAAATGTTTGGTCTGAGGCTGAATTTGAACTCAGGTCCTCCTGACTTTAGGGCGGGTGCTCTATCCGCTTCACCACCTAGCTGCCCCCAACTTTTTACACTCTTAAAAATGGTTGAGGACCCCAAAGAGCTTTTATTTATGTGAGTTATATCTATCAACATTTACCACGTTAGAAATAAAAACCAATAACATTTTGAAATATTTATTTATTAATTCATCATATAATAAAATTTATTAATGCATCATATAATAAAATAAATAATCATTAATTATTTATGAAAATAATAACACCATTACATGTTAGCATAAATGACATTTGTTAGTTAAAAAATATTTTCCAAAACAAGTTAATGAGAAGAGTGGCACTGTTATCCTTATTTTTGCTAATCTCTTTAATGTCTGGCTAAAGAGAAGACAGCTGGATTCTCCTCTGGGCTTCTGCATTCAATCTGTTGTGATGTGTCATTTTGGTTGAAGTATATGAAGAAAATTCAGACTCACGTGGCTGAAAGGGAGAAGTATTTTAATAGGAACTAACATTTTAGTGTTATTAGAGAAAGAGTTTTCGTCTTGCAGATCCCTCAAAAAGAGTCTCAGGGAATCTCAGAGACCTAGAGACCACACTTGGAGAACTGATGTCCTAAGCCATTCTGCGAAGACATCTTATTATCTGCTGCATCCAGAAATGTCATCTAACTGCCCACAATCACTGGGAAAGGTTTTAGAGAGAAGGAAGGAAATGAACATTTATTAAGCACCTACTATATACTAGGCACTTTACAAATATTTTCTCATTTGATCTTGACAACAACTCTGGAAGGTAGGTGATATTATTATCCCTGTTTTACAGTTGAGGAAACTGAGGACAGAGGTTAAGGTACTAGCCAAGGGTCACACAGCTAGTAAGTGTCTGAATTTGGCTGAATTTGAACTCAGATCTTCCTGATTCCAAGCCCAGCACTGTCTACTTTGTCACCTAGCTGCCTCTATATTTTTCAAAGATGGTTTGGCCTAGCTGATAAGAGTCAGGAAAATCTGGGTTCAGATCCTACCTCTGACACTTAACAACTGTTAAACCTTTGGTAAGTCGTTCAGTTTAATGCAGCAAGCATTTATTAAGCACTTCCTGTGTGCCATTCGATGCACTAGTAGCTAGGGTTACAAAGATAAAAAAAAAGCAGTACCTACTGTTAAGGTGCTTACATTCTACTGACCCCTTCTGAGCCTCAGTTTTCTCATCTGCTAATGGGGATGATGATCCCTGTAGTGCCTGTCTCACAAAATCATTGTAGGGTTCACTAATAAGGTAACGTGTATAGAGTATTTTGTAAATTTCAGAGCACTGTGTAAATGGCATTTGTTATTATCCCTAGCTTTGTATAAAATTATAGCACCCATGCCTAAAACATCATATGTATTTCTTTCTGGTGAGCTCACCCCACCTCAAGAAAAACACAAAGTCCCAGGGTTGCTAGATTTACAGAGCCATCAGAAGCAGCTGAGTCCAACCCTCTCTTTTTCACGGAGGAGGAAACAGAGACAGAATGAGATTAAATGATTTGTACAGGGTCACACATCCGAAGTGGGATTTGAACCTGGATCTTCCTGACTGAGACCAGTGCCCAATTTACTGTACTGTGGTGTCTAGAGAAGGTCTAGAGAAATGTTATTAGTATGATCAAGGGAGGTAGCTAGGTGGTACAGTGAATAGAACGCTGGGCCTGGGGTCAGGAAGAGCTGAGTTCAAATCAAGCCTCAGGAACTTGCTAGCTGTGTGACCCTAGGCAGGTCATTTAACCCTTTTTGTCTCAGTTTCTTCATCTGTAACGTGAGTGGCAACCCACTCCAGCACCTTTGCCAAGAAAACTCAAAATGGGGTCACGGAAAGTCAGACATGACTGCACAGTAATGACACGATCAAGGGAACATACTAAAGAAAAATAGGCAAGTTTAAGTCTCTAAGAAAACCATGATTGAAGTTTATAAAATTATGATAAACATAACATTTTTCCTCAGTGTTTGGAATACTAGAAATAGAGTGCATCACTTTGGTGCTTGGAAACGAGGTTGTTTAGAACAAATAAAGTCCTACTTATACAGAGGACGGTCAATTTAATCGAGCTGTGGACCAAGAGGAAGTGTCCCAAGGGGCAAATAGTTTCAAGATCGGTTTAGATTAGAACTGCTGTGGATAATAGACTCACGACTTTGTTGAAAGGAGCTCAACATGTTTGAGACATACTGTGATTTGTTTTAAGTTGTTGTCATAGAACAGAACTAATCACGCCCTCCCACAAAATATCCTTCCATGTGACTGCTGGAGACTTTCTGAAGCCAACAAAATGTCCCTGAAGGGACCAGTTGAAGTGGATGATAAGAGAAAAGAGAGAAAACTTTGCACGGGAGATGGGTTTGTAGATACTTGCAGACTCAGGCTGTTTTAAGAATTAGAAATTTCTGAATCTGATTCTTCCACTGAGTCATGGATTCTGAGTTAGGGAAAGTCCCTGGTCTTTCTCAGAGCACCAGGCTCTTCCTCTTTGTAAAAGAGATAATCTATGTGCCTTTTCACTGGTTGTATCCTCCATGCCGGGAATGTTTTCCCCAACCCCTCTCCAACTCTTAGAATCGCAGGCTTCTTTCAAGACTTAGTCAGCGATGTAAAGGGAAAGACTGTAACCTTGGCCCCGAAGAAGAGATATGAAAAGATACCTCCCCTCATTGCTTTGCAGAGGTATGAATAGGAGTGATGTCTATGGATGTAGAACATTGCACAGAATGGTAGGTTTCTTCAAAATGTCAATGGGTTTTGCTGAATTTTTGTTCTTTTCTGACTCATCTTTTATAAAAAAAAACCTGTTTTTATTATAATGGGGTATGGGAGGGGAATAGATACAGGGGGAAATGTAGATAATGAAACAATAAAAGCTATCAATAAAAATGTACGCAGGCTTTTGCAGGAGACCTCTCTCAATCTTCCAACCCTAACCCAGCTGCTAGTGCTTTTCCCTCTAGCATTATTTTGTATCCACTTTGGATATAGCATATACACTTTTTAATGCATGTAGCGTTTCTCCCTGTTAGCACATGAGCTCTTTGAAGGCGGGGTCTAGTTAGCTTTCTTCTCTTTGTTGTCCCAGAGCCCAGCTTAGTGTCTCATATGCCCTGCACAGAATAAAGGCTTAAATGCTTGCTGAATGTTCAATTGAAATGCAATTGAAGTCCCCGGACTCCTTTGCAGAGGTGGGGGCTCCCCAACTGTGGCTCCTTCATGGATACGGAGCATTTTATATATTATCAGATTTTTAAAAATATGTTTATCAGTTTTGCTGTGTTTTTTTCCCTCCTTTTCTTTTATTATTTGTTATTAGAGATAACGCTCCTGGATTGAGTAGGGGGAGGGACACAAAAATTTAGATGACGTAAAAAACAAAAGATGTCAATTAAATTTTTAAAAAGAAAAGTAACTAAAGGCAATTAAGTAGAAAGCACTGGATTTGGAGTCAGGGGACCTGGGTTCAAATCCTGTTCTGTCATTTACTACTTGTGTGATCCCAGGACAAGTCATTTCCTCTCTTTAGATCTCAGTTTCTTTGCCTATAAAATGGGGGGAGGGGGAAGAGAGAGAATTGGAGTAGATGGCTTCTGAGGTCTCTTTCAGCTCCAGATCTGTGAGCCTCCCTAGAGGCTCGGATGCCTCATCTTTAAGTGGGGAGGTTGCACTCTAACGCCCCTGGGTTCCTAATCGCTCTATGATTCTCAGAAGTGTTGCAAGGTGAACACGTCCAGAGATTACTCTTATTATTTATTTATCTCTGTTCAGGCAGCGAGGGTGGGACCATCTGTAAGTTTGCTATCAGGAACTAAGGAGGTCAGGGGCAAGCTTCTACTCGCCAAGGAATCCAGGAATGCCTGGGAGCCAGAAAAGAGCTTAGCCGCCAACCCAGGTGACTAATTCCCCACAAACCAGGACTTTTTCTTGCCATGTCAAGACTCGGAACTGAAACTATGATACTGGAAGCCCCTTTTCCCCTCAGTGAAAACTCTAATGCTTGTCCCTGTTCTGTTTTTGTTTTCTCATCGTACACACTCAATAACTCAAAATAACAGCTCAAAGAACAGACGAGCATTTCCGCGACCCATCACCCAGACACATGCAACACCAGCTGGGATTTTTTCTATTAAATTTTATTAAAGAAATGAAATCATGGCAACAACTGGACAACAGAGGTGGTTAAGAACACGCACAAACCTTTGACCCATAGGTAGCAGCATTTTCTCTTTAAAAGACAAAATCAAACAATGAAGAGGCAGCTTTCTTCTGAGACCGGAGAGGGTGGTTTGTTTGTTTTTTCCAGCTACTCAACCCCTCAAGTGTAAACATGCTAGGGACGGATTAGTAGCCCATTAGCTGTACTGACAGTCATTTAAAACCACTTAGTATCACTGTTCAGTTTCCCACCTTCTAATGGGATCTGCATTTCCTTATGTTTATTCTCTTCCTTTCACCTCTGGAGAACAGGGACATGGGGAGTGTCTTTGATCCCAGATGGACTGGCTCCCCCTAAACTCAGGTTTTTGCTGGCGTGGCCAGCCTCTGGAAGGACCAGGCTCCCCTCCTGTCACTTGGTTCCACACACGGTCCTGCTGCACATTGCTCCTGGAGTGGAGGAGCCACCCTCCCCCACCACCTCGACTCCCACATGTGGAGGGAGAAGGGGAACTAGATGAAGATTCTGACCAGAAGCTCTATGGCTGGGAGAGTGCCTGGCCCAAATCTATGGTCTCTTCTGGCCTCAATTCCACTGTTGTTAGGTTTGTGATCTAGAAGATGCTCTGAGATGCATAAATTAAGCCAAGTGTTCCAGAAGATGAGCTTTGCTTCCATCCTCTTTCCTAAAGGATTTGTGACAGCAGATCAGAATTGCAAGTCACTGTGCTGTTTCTCTCGTTCCATCAGAGCCATCAGCTCTGAAGACAGTAGCTATATGTGGACCAGTCCACTGGTATCGATTGATCCATAGAGACCCATTTCTGGACCCATTTCTAGAAATCTTAATTCTAGCAGTCTCATTCTCCCTTCTCTGCCACTGCCTGGATTGTTGAAGGAGATGCTGGGGCTGTATTTGTAGGGTTCCATGCGACACTGGAGTTGGTCATTAGTGCATCTGGCAGACTCTTTCTGGTGATGGCATTTCCAGAACTGGAATTGGTCAAGCACAAGTCCCTTGTGAGATCCCCACTGGTGCTCCGGTTGTTATCAGAGTCTCCCGTTGGCTTTTGCCAAAGACGGCAAGTGATCAGCTTGGAGAAGAAGTTGGGGAAGGAGGGGCTGGAGAAGTAGTATACCAGGGGGTCCAGCATGCTATTCATGTAGGTGAAGCTGAGGGTGATATAAAAGGCCAGGTCTGCTGAACGGTAGATCTTACAGTCACTGGTGCCCTGGGAGTAGAGGAGCCAGAAGATTCGTATTCTCACAGCCACACTGGGCAAAAAGCAGATCACAAAGACGATGGCGACCACCATGACAAATCTGATGGCCCGCTTGATCTTAGCCTGCTTGTCCAACTGCCTCCTACGAAGGCTCCAGACGATGCTGCTAGAGCAGAATATGATGATGCCAAGGGGCAGGAAGAACTCCAGGAGAAACATGGCATCGTGCCAGCCAAAGGTTGGGCAGATGGCAAAGCTGCTGCAGAACCGTGAGTCTCCCATCTTTTTCACATGGGAGGTGACGAGGAGGTGGCCAGTAAGGGCGATGGTGACACCCCACAGAAGGAAGCTGATGATGGCTGCTGTCCTATTGGATAGCTTGTTCAGAACATGATGGGGGTGAACCACCCGAAAGTATCGGTCCACAGCCACGACCGTGAGGAAGATAATGCTGCCTTGCCGGTTCATGGCCAACATGAAAAGCATCAGCCGGCAAGGGATGTCACCAAACTTCCAGTCCCATTTTCTGACGTAGTTATCCGTCAGGAAGGGAAGACAGAAGATCAGAAGTAAGTCAGCCACAGCCAGGTTGAAAAGGAAGATCCGGCTAGATTTCCAGGACTTCAGGGAAAAGCAGAAAGCCCACAGGGCCAGACCATTGCCAATGGTTCCAAACACAAACTCCAGCCCCAGCACTGGGGGCAACACCCGAGGAATAAAGTCATCACGGAAGACGCAGCAATTTTTGCTGCTCATGGCTTGGCTTTGCAAAGAGAGAACCTCACCAAGGAGTTTCGTCCTTACAACTGACACTCAAGGAAAGAGGTGTGTGTGAGGGTGAGTAGCTGTGAGTCTGCCTTTATGTTAGGTCAGAGGTGTCGAAATAGATGACTGAATGGTTACCAGGAAACTACGAAACAGCTGGGAAAAAAAAAAAGGAGAGACAGAGCAGAGAGCTTATGCAACCTTTCAGTAGCTGTTTGCATAAACAAATCATAAAAATCCCTGAGGTCAACAGAACCCACAGTATTTGGTGAAAATGTGAAGGGTAAATTTAGACGGATTGCTATTTGATTATTATGAATGTGAAGGATATCCTCTATGGGAAGAGAGAGGCTGTGTGGCGAGTTCAGGAGTTCTAGGGTCTCTCTCTGTCACTTACACCCTGGGGTCAATTTGAGTGAGTCACTTAACCCATCTGAGACTCAGTTTCCCTATCTGTAAAATGAAAAGGTGGAACTCTAATGTCCTTTACAGCTCTATGATCCTGTGTTTGTCACTAAGTAGTGTGTGTGTGTGTGTGTGTGTGTGTGTGTGTGTGTGTGTGTGTGTGTGTAGAGCTATTTTACAGAAATCATTAGGGATAAATGGTGAGTTTATTTATGCTTTTGGCAAAATCACATTTACCAGACTAAACAATATCTTTAAAAAAAAAAAAAGAAAGCCTCTAGAACTATTTGAACATGTCATCCCTTCCATATACACATTTATTTAGATCATTTTTTGGAATTCTGAGAAAATAGTAATGGACCTTTTGCAAGGGCAAGTATCTTGAATTTTTCTTTACTGTCCCTTTTGATACTCCTTCCACAAATATGAAATACCCCTCAGTTTTAAGTTATTTTCTAGTTAGAAAAGTATGCTAAAAAAAAGAGTTGTTTGGTTTTCTTGTAATTTACCTCGAGGCCTCTTTGGCTCTCCAGTGGTGCAGGAAATGGAATTACAGTGAACTTGTCTTTGCCAGCCTCTGGTGCAGGAAATGGAATTACAGTGAACTTGTCTTTGCCAGCCTTTGTAGTAGTTACAAAAAAAGGCAAAAACACAAGTGAGCAGTTTCTAAAAATCTGTTTTAAAGAAATTGAGCTTTTTAGTGGCAAGATCCTATTAATAGGATGTAAGTAAAACTTCACAGTATAGCAGTCAGAAAGGACCTCAGGAACATAGGTTAGGTGGCTAGAGAGAAGGACTTGGAAGCTGAAAGACCTGAATTCAAATGCAGACGCAGACACTTACTAGCTGTGTGACCCTGGGCAAGTCACTTCACCCTGTTTGCCTCAGTTTCCTCATCTATAAAATGAGGACTATTATAGCACCTACCTTGAAGGGTTGTCCTGAGGCCCAGATGAGACAGCATATATGAAGTGCTTAGCCCCTAATAGGCACTTTATTACTGGGGAAAATAGCACGTATCTAGAATAAGTGGCCAGGGAAGGGAGCCTAGATCTTGGCAGACATAAGAATTACAAGTAGAGGAACAGAGCAGTAAATTGTTTCAACCTTCCCAGTAGCAAGCAGTGTATTCATTTTATTATTGTTCCTTAAGCAGGGGGTGAAAAGGTGAAGGTGGGTTCTAAATGACAGCAAGGAAGATGGTGAGATGTCTACACTGGGTGGACACTGGTGTCCTGGCACATCGCTGGATGGTCTGGACAGTCCACGGGATGGGGGTGGGGTGGGGTTGGGGAGTTAGACAAAAAAGGTTAAGGTGATGATTAACTCAACCTAAAATCGCCCCAACTAAGGTGAATTTCAAAATTGAGTGGATTAATTTCCTCATGTTGGGGATGTGGGAGGGAAGTGAGAGAAGGGGCTTTAGAGTCTCTAGTCTAGAAGTCCTAGGGTAGAAAAAGCCCTGACTCAGGAGTGAGAGGAACTAGGTTCAAATCCCACATGTGATGTTTACTACCTTATTTATTACTGGGTGACTTTGTTGTTGTCAGGCCATTTTTCAGTTGTGTGTGACTCTTCATGACCCCATTTGGGGTTTTCTTGGCAGAGATACAGGAGTGGTTTGCTATTTCCTTCTCCAGATCATTTACAGCTGAAGAAACTGAGGCAAACAGGGGGAAGTGACTTGCCCAGGGTCACACAGCCAGTAAGTGTCTGAGGGTGGATTTGAACTCATGAAGATGAGTCTTTCTGGTTCCTAGCCCTGTGTTCTATCCACTGTGCCACCTTACTGCCTGGGGTAACTTTTGGCAAGCCAATGAATCTCTACGGACCTCAATTTCCCCCTCTGTAAAATGAGAAGGTTGGAATAGATGGCTACTGAGGTCCCTTCTAGAGCTATGATCCTAGGCAGGAAGTGGAGCACTGTGGCAAGGTAGATGATTAGGCCCCAGTGTCCTGGGAGATGAACTGTAGGAGATGAGCTAATAAAAGGTAAAAAGAAATCAGTGTTTGACAAGTCCATCCCAAGGGGTTCTATTATTAACTTTCTTGTAAATTATAGTCTTTTTATTATGGACCACAGGAGTACCATCATAGGAAGCCTCCAGTGGATGGAACCATCACCTTCCTTCTGGACCCGTTAGGGAGTGGCTACTTTCACTCAGTTCAGTTCAATTTAATTCAACCCAACCCATCCCAATTCAATTCAATTCAGCCGTCATTTACTAACTTTTGCCTACATGTCTGCCCTCAAGGAGCTTACATTCTAACAGTGTTTGTGATGTGTGCACAGATAAGAAGGCTGCAAAGGTCCCATGGGGGACAAAGGAGAGATCCAGGCAAGGTGCCCTTGAGGAGGGAAGGAACATTCAACATGGGTGGAAAGAGTGGCTTTCCCAGAGACAAAATAGCACTGGAGCTGAGCTCTAAAGGAAGGGGCAACTCTCAAAGGAAAGAAGAAGAGAAAATAATTCATGGAACGAAGAACACATGAAAGGGAGTAAGGTGAAACAAGGCTAATTTTAATGGGGAGTAAGGAAGAAGATAAGTGGGGATCAGAGTGTAGTTGACTTGACAAGCCAAGCTAAAGGGCTGGTATTTCTAACCCAGAGGTAATAGGGAGCCAAGGAGGGCTTATGAGCAGGGTAGTAACATGATCTGACCTGTGCATTAGGAAGATTATTTTAGCATCTGTGTGAAGGGTGGTTTGGGAAGTGAAACCTAGGGCACTGATAACAATCCCTCTTAATTCTAGCGCCCTCTGTCTGTTGATTATTTCACATTTATCCTGTCTGTAAGCTTGTTTGTACACAGTTGTTTACGTGCGATCTCCCCTGTTAGATTGTAAACTCCCTTGACAGCAGACGTTGGTTTTGCCTTTCTTTATATTCCCAGCACTTAGCATGGCACACGGCACATAGTAGGTGCTTAGTAAATATTTAGTGGCAGACCAATATCCTTAGAAACAGGGAGACAGCATGGCAGGGTGGAAAGGGCATAGGATTTGGAGCTAAAAAACCTGAATTAACTCTAGCTTCTGTTACTCCCTATGTGACTCCGGGCAAGTCATCTACTCTCTCCAGGCCTCAGTTTCCTTAATTGTAAAATGAGAGGCAACAAGCCTCTAAGGTTCTTTCCAGCTATGATGCTCAGAGCTTTAACTCCATTCTTTTTAGGGAAGTTCTAGGCTTAGCTCTGCTTCTTATTAGCTGTGTTCCTGGGCTAAAATCATCCCTCTTTCTGTGCTTCAGTTTCCTCATCAATAAAACAAGGGTATTGGACCAGATCACCAAAGCCCTCTGCAGCTCTATGATTCTAAATGAAAATTTAAAACTCTCCAGGCAAATGACTTCTTTTCTCCTTGGATTCTGGGGGCCAGTTCCAGGGAATTTCTTGCCCTACAGCAAGACTGGAGTCTTGTTTAATCTTGTTTAGGTCTTCCTATCATTCACCGGGCTCAGGAAGCTTGTCACAGTGAATCATTTTAAAAAACAGAAACCAAAGTGGTGGAAACCCCAGGGAAAGTTATACATTTTCAGTGGGTCATCCCCCAAATCTTGATCAATCTATGCCATAGGTCAGGAGTGACTTGGTTTGTGTTTCTGAAGCATCCTGGTTAGAGTACGTGAGGGGCTCCATTTTGTTTTTTATTTACCTAAGAATTAAAAAAAAAAGGAATTTTAAAAATTTAAACTTTCTTATTTACCATAAACAATAATTGTGAAGATTTCATCATACAGAAAACTGAAAAAAGGATTCTATATGAAACAGTGCGCAACTAGATGGCCCAATAGAGCACTGGGCCTGAAGTCAAGAAGACTCAACTTCCTAAGTTCAAATCTGGCCTGAGACACTCACTAGCTGTGTGAACCTGGGCAAGTCACTTCACCCTGTTTGCCTCAGTTTCCTCACTGTAAAATGAGCTAGAGAAGAAAATGGCAAACCACTCCAGGCTCTTTGCCAAGAAAACCCCACAAAGAGCTGGACATGATTGAAATGACTGAACGATAACAACATATAAAACTATGAGCCTCTATTATTTCCAAGTTGCTTTAAGTGTTCTGAGGTGCATAATAAATGTATTTATTTTTCCAACATTGTTTATTTTATTGTCACTAACTTGGCAAAAATCAGCAAACATGAACACTGTCATATTCGAAGAACCACAGGAGTGATGGCCCATTCCCCTCTATCTCAGGCCTTCGAAAAATAGGGTTGGGTTCCTTGAGGGCAGGACGTAGGCCATTTTTATCTTTATGATCCCAATGTGTTGCCTAGGTTTGGTTTCTGGTAAATATTTGTTGAACTGAATTGATTTGGGAAATGAAAGCAAAGCATCCATTAGTGGAAGGAGAGAGCTTAGCAAGCTGGGAGGAAGCTGGTTATCTTGACACAGACTGGGCAGAGGGACCCATAGAAGGAAAGGGGAAGAATAAGGTTCTGGAAACCCAGCTCATTTCCTGAAAGCAGACCAAGTGCCCATTTGTTTTGTCATCCTCCCCAGGGATAATGCATTTCTCTCATCTATTCCTCATCCCTAGATCTCAGCAGAGCAGAGATCCTTAAGCTTTGATTGTTTTGTGCAGAACTTTGGCAATCTGGTGGAGCCCGTGGACACTGTTCTCCAAAGAATGCTTTTAAATAATTTAAGCAAAAGCTAAATTTCAGTTAAAGGTTAAGGAAAATTAAGATGTCATTCTTTTTTTCCCCAT